CATGTCCTTGAGATATAATGGAGTTTAACCTCTTCAGTACTGCATCACTGCAAGCAGTAATGTAACATGGCCTGAGATGGACCACTATTAATGAATGCAGGTGGCTCAGGAATGCTCAGGTTAAGCTTTGCTTAAGCCTTCAGCTGCTACTGCAGTAAAAGGCTTCCACACGAATAATCTTGAAGCTGTCAGAGTGCCACATAAGACTTTCGAATAGATGGCCCTGCACTGAAAAGAGCAGAGAGCATGCTGTTCCAGGGAGGACAAGTACTAAACTGCATTAAGACCAGCTGCCTTTATTCATGTTATCTTGTATATAAATCTCTTGCTGGGACTGATATGTCTATTATCTAACCTATAAACTGCTGAACACTCATAGGTAAAACCTAATGGAAAAGCTCATGTTATATACATGCACACACAAATAGTAAAAATATAAGCTAAAGCTTAAAATATAAAAACTGAGGGATCATTACCAAAGTTGACTGTTTAGTTTAAAGTCAGAGTAGATGGATTTGATATTATTGAATTATTATTAATAATAATTATAATTTCTCAGAGTTAACCTGTAGAAAAAGACGATGCATGTAAAGGTAAAAGACAATAGGAAGACTGTATTATTAGTCAACATGTTTCATCCAATGTGAACTTTTTCAAGGCAAAAACAAAATGAATTTATTGAAAACAAAGTCTCTATTAGCAACAAATACAATGTCCTTAGCTGCTAGAAAAATTTGAGAAAACACTACTGTATTCATATTGTCAACTGAAAATTACGTCAAGTACTTTCACGTGTAGAAATATTGTCTTTATCTTTTGTTGGATTCAACCATTTTCTATTGATTTCTTGATATAGTTGTGTATGTTGGCTTGGGAGAGTAGTAATCTGTTAGGAAAGGTGATCTTGGGAAAAAACCTGGATGAAGATTAATATTTGGATAATATTCAATAGCAGCACTCTTGAGGATTTTCCTTCTGAGTGAGTTATTTTTGTTTTTTTATGAGCGTAGCATTTTTAAAATTAAAATTGTGGTTGAATTTATTTCTCTGTATGTCTAGTATATTAGTTAAGTTTTTTTTTTGTGAGGTCTCTTTTGTGCTCATAGATGCATTTTTTATAAATTTCTGCTTGTTTCTCTATATATATATATATATATATATATATATATATATATATAAATTCCCAAGAGGATAGAATCCAGTACAGAACAACTTATCCCATCTAAATAATCTTAAAATAATCACAAACACTAATAGCAATATTTCTGAGGCAGGCATTTATAAAAATAAATTGCCAAAACTGTTCCTTCCAATATATTGGAGAAAATGTACATTAACCTTACAATAAATAATAATATATAAATTAACCTTACAAAAAAAAAATGTACATGAACGTAAATAATAATACATAAATTAACCTTACAATTTTGCTAAACTTTATAACTCAATAATCACTCCTCTTATGTTATTACCTTTATATAAACATTTTAATGTTATCCTTAGTGGTTTATTCTAGATTAAGATATTAAATAGGTTAGTATTCGTAAGTTACTGGTAACGAGGTTAGCCATGAATTGGCTTATAATTAATTTACTGGTGATGTTGTTTGACAATAGTTTTTCATTTAAAATAAATATATAAAAGTCATATAAATATTTAAAATTTATTTTGTATTCTAATTTATAATGTAAGATTAATATAGTGAAGTAGCTGTTTTGTTTGTACCTGTTTTTTTTTAAGTGTCTTTTATTTAGGTACTATGTTTAATTTTATTTAAATATGTGAGTTCATTCAAAATGCCGTAAAGTTTGAAATGCAACAATGTATCTAAAATATGTTGTATCTTATTTTCATTGGCTAAGCTTGTATCAACAACTCCTCATGTCTTATTTTCTTCTGTTTCCTTTTACTTTGTATCTGTAAAATTTGGATATACTCCTCCCCTTCTTTTTCTTTTCTTTTCCTTCTCTCTGTAATAGATTTGATTTCTTATGCTTTCTTATGCCTTTCTTTTCTTTCCTCTTTCTATTTCTTTTTATTGATTTCTTATTCTCTCATTTTTCTTTTTTTTTTACTTTAATCTGCTTTTTTCTTTCTTTTTCTTTTATAGAAATTTTTTTATATATTTGTATCTTTGCCTTCTGTGTAAAATTTTCAAAAATGTAAAAAGAAGTGACGTTTCATAAGTTGAATTTTAAATAAAATTGTTTATTACCACCAATGTTAACCATCTGATGAGATGTCTAAATTAGACATCGAAACAAATATGCATTTTTTTGTGATAACTTGCATGTTCCAAAGTCACAGTTTATAATAAATATCTATTGCTCTACTCTTGTATTGAGCCCTTTTTTAAATTAACATTATCAACATTTGAATTTATATTCTGTTCGTTCTTTTACATTTGGAGATATATATGATATAATGATATATAATTTTGTATAATTTTATATAGCAACAAACAGTATTTAGAAAAATGACAAATTGGAAAAAAGTTTTTGTGACACATTTTATACATTAATATTTCATTGGACTGGGCTTTGTTTATCTACAATAAAATCTGGAATGATCATTGGATTCTATTTAAGAGCAGTCAGAATTTGCAACCCTCAATATTTACATGAAGAGGAGAAATATATTGAAAATGCATTCAAGACCCTTCAATACCATAACTATTTCATATTCAATGTGAAACAAAAGGCTCATAAAATATTCCAAAATTGAAGAGCTGTCCTTCCTGACAAACCCAACGAATCAAAAAAATATATTATTTTATTCATTAACTCTATCACAACTACAGCCAAAAAAAATTTATCTAAGCTCAACATAAAATCTGTCACAACTATATCTGAAATGATCAAAGACTTAATCAATAAAAAATTTAACAACAAGCCAAAACTTGAAGGAGAAATTTACTCTATCAACTGTAGGAATTGCCAGATTGAATACTTAGGAGAAATCTCAAGAAGTTTAAACAAAAGACTATATGAACATAAAAGAGACATTTTAAAAGATAACACCCATTGGTTGTTCATTCACCATGACAAAACTGACCACAACTTTGACATAGGAAATGCTACATTGATTAAAAGAGAAAATAATCCACTAAGACAAAAATGTCTGGAAAGTGCCTTGATCACTAGTTGAGCCACAGTAAGTTTGTGTACAGGCTTTACAAATATATCACCATTCTTGGTAGATTTTATGTTGTCACAATGTGGTATAGTCAGGAATGAAGTTGAGGGAGAGAAAAAGAATACAGATGAATTTGGCTAAATTGAAAAAAATTTTCTTTCAAAAATTTTGGAACTACCAGCATCTCTCGTTTCATGCAGATGTGGCAACATCAACAAAGCCCAGTCCAATGAAATCCTAATGAGTGAAACATGTCACAAAAACTTTTTTCCAATTTATCATACTATTTTCCTAAATATATATATATATATATATATATATATATATATATATATATAAAAAGAAGCAGCTCATAAGACAATCTGCTACAGAAGCACACTGGAGAAAGAGAGCTTAATGCCTTATTAGCTGGTAGAGCCTAAATATATTTTAATTAAATTTCCAGTAAACATTGGCTGCCACAATTAAGTTTCATGTACAATCATTATTTATTTATATAAATTGAGATCAAATATAGATCACAATCTGACAGAATGATAGGATAAGGAACAAATAGGTAACGTTAGATTTGTAAACATTTCTTATTTATTACTTATCTTAATATATATATATAATAAAAGCACAAGATAAGTTGAATAAATTTTGTTACAATTCCCATCTATACTTGTTACATTGATAGAAGCTAAGAAAAATTGAGGTCTGGGATGTCAGAGTATTTGCAATTTTTTAGCATAGGCACAGCAGGTTAATCATTATTTTAATTTTCTCGATGCTTATTCTTGCCTTGCACCTCTAACTTAACACTGGAATTTCTTTATCAGACATTGGGTGGTAGTCACCTCATTAGTCCTTTTAAAAGAAATAAACACTAAAATCAACAAGAACAAAGATTTTATTTTAGCACATTGTTAGATTGGCATTTCTCTGTTCTTTTTTCCTTAGGCATCCTTTTTTATTTCTGTTTTGAGTTAGAATCATTATTTTCAAATTAACTCTGTTTATCTTAATATGATATGTTTCATCTTATTTCTCAAGACTGATGTTACACTATCCTTAATGATTCATTTTTACTAGTTTATAAATGTTAATCTTTTAAGTACATTTTTTTTATATAATACTGATTCTCTGTCTGCTTTATCTAAGGAAACCTCTTTTTCTTTTCTTTTTTTTTCTTTAAAGAAATAAACATAGTAGCACATTTTGTAGAAAATTGTAACTTTAATACATTTCCAAGTTAATTTGTTTACTTTAAGAGTTGCAAATAACTGTACCTTTGTTTTTGCCTCTTGAGTAAAAACTGGAATTCCTATTGGAAATAAAAATGATTAATATTTATTTGACTATTCAGAGATAGAGCAAAAGAAAAAAAAAAGATTCTTTAGGAGGTGAGCTATATGGAGAAATTGGTGGTGAAAATTGCCATAGAAATTTAATGCCCCCACTCTCCCAGTGTTAATTTAACCCAAAACCAGTTTTGGTTAATATATTTTAGCAGGTATTTAAAAAATATTTTCCATCATACCGTCATCATCTAAACAACTAACATTGATCTTCTTTACTTAAAGAAAGTATATTTATAATGTTAACAATTCAGCATTTTTGCCACTTCCCTTAAAGAAACAGCTTGTTATCGAAGTATACTATTGTTCAATATATGATTTTTTATAAAACTCTTTTTAACATAGTTTTACATGATATTTTATCATCTTTCATTCTTCACTTGGTTGGCTTTATTTTATCTATTTAAATTTCTTGTTTCATTTTAACCAGATAACGACATCTTAAATAAATTCCAAATTAGTCTGATTATGTAATGTTATATTTTTGACCTTTTCTCTTTCTCTGTGAAGCTTACAGTCACATTACATTGAAACACCAGTTCCCATACAATCACCAAAGTTAAGCAATGTCGAGCCTGTTTAGTACTTAGATGGTAACTGCTTGAGAATATCAGGTACTGTGAGCTTGGATGTGTGGGTGATGTAATAGATAATGGCTTGGAATTGTTAATTGGAGAGCCAAGTTCCAATTTCTATTGGATTTGTTATATTCACTTGTGTGTAAATACCCTTGAGAAAGATATGGATCCACCATTTACCCCCATCTATGGGTTAATTAGTAAGACATATCACTAAACCATTTTTATCACCAAAACAAAATTCTTAAAATCTAAAAATATTTTCTGACTTTAAATAATCTGCAATGGGTTGATAAGCCATAGAATACTAATCAGTCAAAAAAAAAAAAAGATTGTTTCTGTAGAATGAAAACAATTTTGGTTTTATGTAATACCTTATGAACTAATTATTGTATGAGTAAAAATTTACCTTTTTGAATTTTGCAATTCATTTTTTAGGGGAGGGTTTTTCTCTTTTATAAGTTGAAAAGAAAATAACAAAGATGTTGACATTCCACACTATTTCAAAGAAAAAATTAGGAATACTGGAAAGAGCAATAATATCTACTGGACATGAGAAATTTATTTTTCTGTTTTTATTTTTTTTAAAAAAAGAAATTGTTATCTATTTTTTTTTCTCAATTTTTATAAATTTCAACTGACATTAATACTGGCTGCTTGGACAATATGAAATGTTCCTTACAAGGAAATAGCTAATATTACCGTTACCATTATTTTTCTTAGTTTACAAATTCTATATGTAAACTAAAACATTAAAAAAGGCATCCTTCTCTTTTATATAGAAATCAAATTTCTTGGGAATCACTTTGAATTTTGGTAAATGTTTTGAATATTTACATGTTTTTATGGGTTTTTTTTTTTTATAATTACTGTTGGCGTGACATGTATATAATCTTCATGAGTTGCTCCCCGTTGGTACTCTCCTACTTCAGAAAAGACACTCTTACCCAGAAGTGCTTTTACAGGGAACTGATGTGGAGACAAAGCAGTTCAAAATAAATCATTCGCTATGACTTGCTCGAATTTCTTAGTATAATTTATAATATATTTACATGATTAACTGAGCAATTGTAGAATGTTCTCTAATTTACTGTCATATGGTAACATTTGTTACTATATTGAAACTAACAAATTTGTATTCATGTTCTGTAACTGAAAGTAGAATTTCAAGTTTTTCATCTATAATTTTACATATTATTTCACCTTCTCATATTTCTAGTAACAAATTGAACTTTAAAAAAGTAATCTTTTTTTTGTTCAATATTTCATCAGTTTTATTAACTTTTTATTTAATTTTAGAAATTAACTTAACTGATCTTTTTATCTTCCCCAAAACAGCAAAAGTTTATTCAAATGCTTTTTTATCATTGTATCAGCTACCACTTCTTTTTGTGTTTGACTTAAACATGATAATCAAGAGATGAGGAATCGTTGATTTTTTTTTTAAATCAGTTGTATTTTTAACATATTTTTCTTGTTTAAGTTCATAAAACAATATTTTCAAGGATAAGCAAAATCTGAAACCTTTAACAGACTTTTAAATTTCAGTAACAATTTTTTAAAGAAATTTAGTCACCTAGCCAAAAATTCAGTTTGTTGCATGTGATGTATATCAGGATCTTCTATCATGTTGAAATATTTCACCTTCTGATATTTCTAGTAACAAATTGAACCTTAAAAAGATGTTTTTTTTTTGTTCAATATTCCATCAGTTTTATTAACTTTTTTGCAAGATTGTTTTTTTTTTATGTATAGTCTTAAACCATTAGATTCCCATCACTGAATCTTAAAGTTTTTGTGGTATATCTTGGTAGGTTGGTTGATTTTATGACATGTCAACCTTGTATATCTTGGAATGTTTATTGTACCAACTTTTGTATTAGAATGTACTTCAATTTTGACTTTGTCATTAAACATCACTGTTGCCCATTTTTCATTATCCTATAGTAGATGTTATTTTATTTAGTCTTTTTATCTTTTAGTTAATGATGGTTTTGTTTTTTTTGTTTTTTTTTTAAATCATTTCCTCCAGGCAGTGCAATAAAACCACTAAGATGCAAGGGGTTACTGAGTGTAGGAGAATATGAGAAAAAAAAATCATTAAGGAGAGAGAATAAAATAACAGGAATTAAAAAAAAAAAATTAAAAAAAAACACACACAAGATAACAATGGATATTGCATTTAAACTTTTGAAAATCAAATTTGACTGGAAAGGACAAAGCTGGTAGAAAGTTGCCTGAGTGAGAAGTGCAAGAGAAGAAACTCTTATCATTAAATTTACAGTTACATCTAGACATTTCAATTACAAAATGATGAAACCTTGCCAGCAACCTAGCACTGCACTTAAATTCATAAAGTCTAGGTGCCCTAGAGGAAAGTTCACCAGAACAATTACCATAAAAGTATTTATAGAAAAGGCACAGGGAAGCATTTAGATTATTTGTATATAGTATTCTTTTATATTGTGTGAACTCCACAAGTAATACAGTTTTTATCCATTACTTGACAAGCTTTTAACTTTGGGTTGAATGTTAATAACCAAGCTAACTTTCTTTGATCTCTTTTGTCTAATTTCAAAGGTCTACCAGGTTTTTTTCCTTTCCAATATCAGCATGCTTCTTTTAAATGACTTGGGCAGAGCACCTTGATATTTAAGGCTCCTTAATGATTTTACATTTATACTTTGTGACATTTTGATGATCCTCATCCTATTCTTCAAACTCACTCTTCCCATTATGACGTTTAACTTCACTAAAAAGTCATGAAGTTTATACAATCTGTGTTTAGTCCATTTAACAAGATAAATTTACATGCATGTCTTAATTTGGAAAGATGTTTATGATAGGACTGAAGCTCCTAACTTTTGCAACCCTTATTTTCAGCACCACCATTCATTCAAATCTCTATCTTCTCTCATCCTACATCAATTTGAATGCAACAAGTTGCACTATAATCCTGAAGGACTATAAGTGCTAATCCTGAAAGTATATTATCAAATACTTACAGCTTCTCAGTAAAACAGATTAATTTCTTTTTAGCTTGGTGGCTCATTTCTTTTGCTTATATAATTTTCATGATGCTAAAGAAAATAAATAATGCTTCATAGCTAGTGTGTTACAAGTTATCAGTATTTTTATTTATATTTTTCCCTTGAAATTAATTTGAACTTTAAAGGTACATTAAATATATTGAGTATTAGAAAATTAAATTTATATGAACATTTCTATAAGAAAATTTAAATGTTATTTTTAATGGATATCCATATTTAAGTAGATGCTCTGTTTATTTATTTTCATCTACTAACCTACTTTTCATCAAGAAAACCTATTAAAGAAAAATATGCGCTCTCAAGCAGGATTCAAATCTGCACCATCTTTAGTAGGAGTATTTTGCCGATCAAGCAAAGTTGAATACTATCTTATAAATGTAAATCTCTCTCTGACTCTCAAAACATTCATATCTGCTCAATTTGGTATCCTACTGTAAACAAAGCAGTTTCTAAAGAAGTAATGGATTTTTTGTTTTAATCTGACAAATTTTATTACTTAAAAGTTATTTTTAGTGGATACACATATTTGAGTAAACACTCCATTTATTTATTAAATCGTATATTTATTTTTATAATGTTTAAGTAATAAAATCTGTCAGATTATGTGGGAGGTAATGCAACAACTCAACTGATGATAGCAGGTAGGAACAAAGAAACCGTGAGGAGGGGGTGACCAAAAAACCCCGGTGTTGCACGTCCAACCTTCTCACGAGCTGAAAGCTCTCTGTTCCGAAACAGCAAAACGAGCCTGCTTTATACAGCCGAGGACCGACCATGATTTGCATGCGAATGATGAGACAACGAGATTTCGCGTTAACTAACCGAGACCGCCCGGCATAAAATATTACTTCTTTAGAAAGAAAGAAAATAAATGAAACTATTGTAACCAAATGAACATTTGAAAAAAAAACACTGAGTTATCTCTGCTTGATGCCAAAGTCATATGTCTAAAAGAGTGGAGGGTGTTAAACTCATTTATTATTGCAGGTCAAATTTGCAAGTACAATATATGGGTCAGACAATATAACTAAACAATTCACACTTATGTATTAGATGAGTAACAAGGAATAGAAGATGATCACACATATTAGATGAGTAATATGAAATGTAAATATTCTACTTTTATGCTCACTTGATCTTAAAAATGAGAAAGCAAACAGAATTGATTCTTTATCTTTATTAAACTGTTTTACATGCTGTAATACTGTTCCCTGATGATTGGCATCTCTTGGTATGAACTGGTGAATCACCTTTGGCACCAGAGATTGAGTTATAATCACTTTCATTATTGTATTTAGATCTATAACTAAATAACCTGAGACTGAAGTTCATACTTGTTCAAGTTAATTACAGAAAATAATTATTCACAGGCATATGTATTTCCAAAGATTGACATGATGTTTGAAGTCAAACATATAATCTTGGAATAATCTGACCCATGATATTGATAAAATGTGCCAGCGTTGACACATGGAAACTTATTCCTTAACCTTTACAACTCTGCACTAACTTTTGGAGTTGTATCCCCGGACTCACATTAATTTTGGGTGTGGTAAATGTTTGAATGGTGGGTATATTACTAGCACTGTAACTTTTAGGGGTTTAGAGATATTGTTAGAAAATTTTCAGGGTATTTGATGTTAGATGCAAGTGGCTACTGTAAGTGAAAAAGAATGAAAAAATTTTAGAAGAAACTATAAACCCAATAATAGTATAAATTTCAGAGTTTAGGCAGAGACATTAGAAGTACAGAGTTGAAGTAGAATTTAGAAGGAACCAGAAAGAAATCCTAAACAAAGAAACAAGAGATAAATGTCTACCTCTATCCCTGTTCAAAAGGCCAGGGAGGAGTTTTAACTAGATGGTAGGTGTTGAAAATGCTGTAAATAACTTTGTGTTGGCTGTTAATATTCTATGATAATTCATAAGTTCTTTCTTTAACTTTGTTTCCTGAAATGTGTTGTGGAGTAGCTGAACACCCCCACAAGATGGACT